GGATTCGAACTGACGACCTTTTGGTTAGCAGCCAAACTCTTAACCACTGTGCCACCAGAGCTCCTTTTTCATCATAGCTTTTAAATTACTGTGATGCCAATTAACTGTATTAAACAATTCACAAATACATATTCAATTAAGAAGTTAGTCAAAGGAATATTCCCATATAAGTTGGTAATTAACCAAAACAAAGAGCTCGGAAAACCCTGATTTTCTGGGTCACTTCTTTAGGTACTAAGTAATAAACCAAAAAAAAAACCCAAAAACCCAACCCACTGCCATGGAGTTGATTCCGACTCATAGCGACCCATAGGGTTTCCAAGGCTGTAAACCTCTGTGGAAGCAGACTGCCACATCTTTCTTGTGTGGAGCCACGGGTGGTTTCAAAACGCCAACCTTTCGGTTAGCAATTGCTTTAACCACTGCGTCACCAGGGCTCCTTAAGTAACACACATATGGATATAATTCTATAACTAGATAGGTAAAACATCACTTACCTGTTGTTGAAAAATAACTAATATACAAATCACACAAAAATCCCATTCTGGCTTGAAATTTTAATCTCTTAACAAATCAAACCTTTTGTCAGAACTACTAAAAATGAGCAATATTAATTTACTGCAGATTTTTTCTTTTATTAAACTTTTGCTTTTCAACCTCCAGTGAAGATGGTTGTTGTTGCTGGTTGCCTTTGAATTGATTTCGACTCATGGCAACCCCATGTGTGTCAGAGTAGAACTGTGCTCCAGGGTTCTGGAAGCAGACTGCCAGGCATTTCTTCTGAGGCACCTCTGCCAATCTTTCAGGTAGCAGTCAAGTGTATTAACCGCTGCACCTAGACAGCCTAAAACATTGTTGGGTACACAGCAGACTCTCACAAAAATTCCACAGTCCTATATTTTCACATTAGCATTGCCAGTAGTGGCTTCTGTGTGCTTTGCCTCTTTGGACCTCAGTTCCTTATCTGAAATGCATAAGCTCAATTATTTCTAAGGTTCTGTTCAGCTCTAAAATTCCATTAAACATTTAAAGGCCATCTAAGAGAAAAGAGAGGAAGAAAGCAGGGTTCTAGACACTACTCAAAAAGGATAAGCATCTCTTGTTCCTGCCTAAGAGGTGGACAGTATACCTTCACAAGGAAGGTGAAAGGCTCTGGAAATTTAGAATCTTTACAGGTAGAGGGATCAGGTGAAGGGTCCTGAGAGGACCAATAGAGACGACCACATGCTACCCTATCAGAGAGTGACGAGACTAGAAGAGAAACATGAGAGTGTAAGGAGAAGTAATCCCTAGGATGACTTTATATTCAAAACCTGCTTTTCAAGAGCAAATCTTAAAACAGTTGTCCAGGATTAAGAATGGCATATGACCTGATGTCCCTCTGAAGTTCTCTTTAAAGTCACGATTTTAGGAACTTTTAAGTATTCTCCTATCATGATTAATTTAAAAAATTACTTCATAGGAGTTCCTTTTATAAATAAAAGAACAAAGCTGTGAGGTCAGCTCAATTATAGGTATACTCAGAAATAGAAAAAAAAAAAAAGTCAATATAATAGAAAAGGAGCCCTCGTGGCGCAGTGGTTATGAGCTCAGCTGCTAACCAAAAGGTCAGCAGTTCAAATCCACCAGCTGCTCCTTGGAAACCTTCTGGGGCAGTTCTACTCTATCCTGTAAGGTCGCTATAACTTGGAATTGACTCAGCAGCAATGGGTGTAACAGAAAAAGGGATAATATATGGGGGAAAACTTCAGCTTTGGGGTCAAAAATCTGGGTCTGAGTCTGGGCTCTACCAGACTCAATAGCTCAGACTGGGTCTACCCTCAACAGCTCAATGACATTTGGAAAATTGCTGCGTGTCGTTGAGCTTAGTTTCTTCATCTGCAAAGTAGGGGTAAGCACACCTACTTCACTGAGTTTTCATAGAGGATAAACTGAGAGAATATATATAAATATGCTCTCAAACACTAAAAATTACCTATTGCCAAGAGGAAACTAAACAGGACGTATGGGAACCAATTCTGTAACCCTGTTTTCAGCAAGGCTGAATTCTAACCAACTGTAGCCTCAGACAGAAAACTGTATTGCAACAAAAAATATGTATTTTTTAAAAATAAAAACAAGAGTAGATAGCAAGTTTATGTTTTAAAAAAAAGTTGAGAAAGATACTCACATTCTGCCAAACTTCCCATGAAAGGTACCCCTATTCCATCTTTGGAGTAACTGAGGAATTAAAGAGGAGAGTATTACTGTAAATTACCAAGGGGAAAAATTGTTCACAATCAAAGCAAGCATAATTTTGGTGAACTAATTAGGATTAATTAGCCATAATGATGAACACAGTTTTAGTGGTTCTGAGTTACCTGGAGAAATGCATGTAATTAGCTAATGCTGAGCCGGCCTGTGACAGCAATGCAGTTGTCAGAACCTTTAAAATCATGTGCATGGGTCCTCCTTTCTTAATCGCCTGCCACAAGGACTGAGCGTAAATGCAAGCAATCACAAAATACACTAGGACCAGGAGGAAAAAGAACTCATGTAACCCTGTGAGAGAAGAAAGGGAGTTTGCTTCAGTTAAACAAAGCCAGTTAAAGGGCTGGGTTGTTTTTCAATCTTCCGGTCAACATAGTTCTAAAAATGGTTTTGTAACTGGAGTCATAGCATTCACTTTTGTAACAGGAAAAAAAAGGGAGGGGGTAATTATTAAAACAATTTTCTGCTTTGGAACAAAGCTGTAACCAGAAGAAAGTAAATTAAACTATACCAGCTAAACTCAGTGAAAATGTCAGGGAACAAGTCCTAAAACTCACCACAAAATCAGTTTTGTTCAAAAACAGTAAACGAAAGCAGTGATTTCAACATTCAGTTAGATATATTTTTTATCCTCCAAGTGGATTTCTTTCGTAAGAAGTTTAGAAACACATTTAGTCAGTCAATAGTTTAATATCCCTTGACAATGGTTCTCAAAGTGTGGTCCCTGGAACAGCAGCATCACTAGGGAACTTGCTAGAAATGCAACACGTTGCCCTCCCCTCCCCGCCCCACTAAATCAGAAACTCTGGGAGGGGCTCAACAAGGCAGTCTGTGTGTTTATAAGCCTTTAGGTAATTCTGATGCCACCAAAGTGTGAAAAACACAGCTCTGAGTATCTCATGACTCTCCATTTGAACCAAGCTGCAAAGTACTTACCACGTTCAGAGGTAAACTGCCTACAGCTCTTGACAAAGACGAAATGCTAGGAAGACTATGTGACTCCACTCCACAGCTGAAACTAGAGCACCAAAAACCAACCAATTCAAAGACTGGCCAGCAACCAACAATATAACTTGTGTCTCAAAGATAAGTTATCAGTTGCCCTCGAGCTGACTCTGACTTATGGCAACTCCTGTGTGTGTCAGAGTAGAACTCTGCTCCGTAGGGTTTCCGATGGCTAATTTTTCGGAAGATCACCAGGCCATTCCTCTAAAGCACCTCTGGGTGGATATGAATTTCTAATCTTTTTAGCACATTAACCATTTGTACCACCCAGGGACTCCAAAGATAAGTTAGGGTAATCATACTCTCTCTTGGAAATTCAAACTACAAAACATGAAAAGAAGTAGGCAATAGGAACTGAAGCTGAAAGGTTGGGACAGACCAGAAGAGTCAATCAAACTAAGCCATGTTGAAGCCAACGTGCTGAATGACCAGAAATTATGAATGTGCAAAGGGAGCTGGTTGATAAAGAGAAAAACAGTGTAAATATTCAGATTTCACATTAAAAATACCATGGGGAACGACACGGATGCCAGCCATGATAGTTGCCCCTAGTTCCTAAGAGCAGCTTTTCAGTACAGTCTTCACGTATCCTCAAGATAAATGTCTGTTTTTCCAAGGTATTTTGACTGAGCCTTCATTTTTCAGACATTTTTATAATAAACCAGAAGGTGAGCTTTGAAGTTAATGGCTTACATTTACTTGTAATTCCTTAATATTAGGACTGGAGCCCTGCTGGCACAGTACTTAAGTGCTTAGCTGCTAATGGAAAGGTCGGTGGTTTGAACCCACCAGCTTGCTCCTCGGGAGAAAGATGTGGCAGTCTGCTTCTGTAAAGATTACAACCTTGGAAACCCTATGGGCCAGCTCTACCCTGTCCTATAGGGTTGCTGTGAGTCAGAATCGACTGGACAGCAAAGGGTTTGGTATTGGTTTTATATTTTACACCAATAACAATGGAGTGTGCTGACAATGGTTATGAATAAAGCTATCTCTATTGAATTTGCAGCTGAACAGTATAAACTGCAATCCCTTCCTTTCAAATTATGAACACTGAACCTGCTCCAGATTCCCATTTGGGGTAAACGCCGATCAACAGGGAGAGAAGGGAATACTTCCACTGTGTGGAAAATAATTTCAGAAAAGCAATCTACAAGACACAAATGAAGAGAAGGAAAACTAGTCAATACTGTTTTTGATGAGAACAAGGCTTTTTTTTAAAAAAAAAAAAGGGCAGGAAGTATTTCAGCCACTGGGTGTCTCTCCTACTCTACATATGTAAGTTCTGACAGTCCACTTTTCTAATCCGGACAAAAAAGCATGTGTAAACTTTAGAAAAAGATCAGGAAGTAGAGAGGCATTCTTTCTTTTTAAACTCCTTACACAGAAAAGTATTCAAGCTTTAGAAATAACGGCATTATTACAGTAGTGGAATAAGATGGAAAATGGAAATGCTAAACATATTATAACAACTTGTTAAGTCAGTAGAATTCTTTATGCTATCCTGATTTGAATCTTAGTTTATATCACTCCTTCTTAGTATTAAAGAATTAAACAAGAAATTCTATTTAAAGTTTTATTTATTCATATCCTTTACAGAATGTCCATTATAGGATAAAGTTTCTGGCTCCATTGGTTATAAATCCACCATGAAAAGAAAAGCCTCAGACTATTTACTGAGTAATCAGAATAACATAGGAGGAAGAGACTTTTGAAAAGAAGACATATATCACCAGCAAAAGACTGTTTTAGGGTTATTCAAGATCAAATGTGACTTTCAGAAAAAGCTAGCATATAACCAACAAAGAAAATATTTGCTGAGATATCAATATATAAAATGAATTGGACTAAGACATTTGTGCTATACTTTGTTCAAAAAATTATGTATAAACTCTTACCCGGACCTTGTCTACGAGATACTTTAAAGATAAAATGCTGGGTTTGCACTCTAAGTAAATCATCTCTAGGAAAAAGCCTCCCTGTTTCTTCTCTTCAGCTATTACCAATTTTACTTTTGTTCTGCCACCATCCTTCCCAAGAAGAAAGCAATCTGTGTTCACTCTGAAATTAAAATCTAATTGTAAAATAGATGATTTTTTTTTTTAAAAGTTGCTGGCAAGTCAATTCCGACTCATGATGACCCCATGTGTGTCAGAGGAGAACTGTACTCCACAGGGTTTTCACGGCTCTGACCTTTCGGAAGCAGATCACCAGGCCTCTCTTCTTAGTCACCTCTGGCCAGGTTCAAACAGCCAACCTTTCACTTAGCAGCTAGCACTTAACTATTTTCATCACCCAAACCAAAACCAAACCAAACCCACTGCCATCGAGTCAATTCCGACTCATAGCGACCCTCCAAAACAGATGATACTAAGTGTCAAATCTCACATGTACTCTTAAGGATATTATCTCTTACATACACTCTTAAGAAGAAAAATACTCTTAACACCGTACGAAACAAGTGGTAAACGCCTGTTATCATGAAATGTGTAGGTTGCATGGCACGCTTATTGAGAAGAAGTGTTTGCAAACCTGGGCAGGCAGAAAATTTGGACCCATCTAAATGATGAGAGAAGCAGACGGTAAGAAAATGGAAGAAAGCTCTTGGGCCATGGGGCAGCACCTGTAGGAGACACTCTTGGATATCTACCCACTATCCTTGCTGTCTCAGAATCCTATGTCCATCCCACACTCAAATGTCTCAAGATAAATCCTGACTAGTCTATACCAATCAGATGAACCTTGTAAGAAGTAAACTTAATTCTACACTTTGATAGAACGGTCAATGGATTAAAGGTCTTCCGTCTTCCTTCTGACACTAACTTAGAATCCTCCTATGATCTCTTACAGCAAAGGCATGTGACCTAGTTCTAGGCAATGAAATATCACAGGGGAGCTTTCAGGAAAAGTTTCCTTGCTCTTAAAAAGAGATACAAAGGAAAAACTGTCTCTCCTCTTCCACTGGATATTGTCATATCTAAAAGTGATACCCAAAACTGCTGCAGCTAACTCTGAACATGAGGGAAGCTAGCCTAGGACAAAGCTGCCAGTCAGAGGATACCAGAGTAGAGAGCTGCTGAATAAACCACTGTAAAGAAGCTTCAGGACTTCTTGTCATGAAAGATAATTCATTTCTTTACTGTTTTTACTGTTTGCATTCAGGTTTCTGTTACTGTGAGCCAAAACCATTCCAAATGATAAAGCAATATTTTACCAGTGCTAAATGGAAGATCCAACCTACTAACTTGTGGGACACAGACGAGAGAAGAATGAACTCAACTGGAAAGAACAGTGAGAAGGCAGATGTGGCAGAGCCTCTATCATCCCAATGAAAATCGGTCTATATGCTTTTAGACAGTAATGCTTTAACTCTCAGGATTCTAGGTCTTCTTACCTCTAACAAGAACACAAATACAGTTAATGAGGATCCTAGATTTTTTAAGCAGCAGTTTTATTTTATTCTACCTTAGAGGACTGAATTCCTATTTAGTGCTTTGTCAAAGGACATGAAACTTGCCTCAATTTTTTTTTCTTTTTTTTAAACCTTAGACCAGTCTATAAAAGGATTAGCCAAAGTCTGGTAGATACAAAACACATAATTAATTTGAAACAAAATACATTATAAAACTTAACAAGAATGACATGTCACATTAATTGCAGCTATTTGCACCAGGTTATTTTCATTCAAACCTCTCAGCTATCTGGTAACAGTCGATTCTTAGTAAAAACCATAGCAAATCAATCTCCTCTATTCAGAATAGATAATTAGACAAACTGGCCAAAATTTTCTAAAATGAACTAGTTAAGAGATTGTTCCCTGGAAATAAATTCCATACGTGAAACTATATAATAGAAACGGTAACTCTTAAAGCTCTCTTTTAAAACCAACACATCACTGAAACAATGTGGAATATGCAGTTTAAGATAAGTGGTTTTGGGAGGCGGAGCCAAGATGGCGGAGTAGTCAGACACTTCTGGTGGACCCTCTTACAACAAAGACCCGAGAAAACAAATGATTCAGTTATATATGGCAATCTGGGAGCCCTGAACATCAAAGGCAGAGTTGAGGAACCAGACTGAGTGGCAGGGGGAGAGAGAGACAGTTCGGAAGCAGCGAGGAGTTGCCAGTCCTGACCCGGCAAGAGCCTGAGCAGCTCAGGGATGAGCAGTGAGGCAGGGAAGCAGCTGTGCTCGGGAGGTGCATTTTCCACACTGGGAGAGACCCAGAGCCAGAGAGTCTACTCACTCACCCAGAACCAATCAGAAGCAGCCATCCACGAAAGGTAAGT